AAAAAGAAGAAAATACTGCATGAAAATGTTATTTCCACTGAATATGATAAACTATATTTATATACTAATATGATACATATATAAATTTAAGCTAGCTCTTAACATTTTCCTCAAATTCGCACCAACAAAAAAAATATAGAAAGTTTTGTGCCTAAACACTGTTCAAATGAAGCTCAGAGTGTTTTCTAGTGAAGCACTCCCCTTCAGTATTTGCTTCTACATTGAAACTGGTTTATATTGAATGCTGTAAAACTTTTAATTAAGATTCTATCTCTTTAGCTCTTTAACTCTTTAGGTATAATGTAAGCTAAAGATGTAGCTGATATACCCATGGAAAAAATCGAAGCATACCTAGAAAATTCCAAAAAAAAAAAAAAAAAAAAAACTTTGCTGGAAATCACTTGGAAATCTATAGCTTTATAGAAGCTGTATTAGGTATAGCCAAATATTTGGCCAATTGTGACTGTAATTGGCTAAGAATGCAGTTGTGGACAAACGTTAATTGCTGTTGAGCAGTGTTTCGCTTTCTATTATACCATTTAGCTGGAGGTAAAATCGTAATTAACTTCATTATTTAATCGATCTTTGCATTAACGCACCTGTGCGCCAACAGGTGTCCACCTGCAACAGCAGCTACTGTGGCTGCTGCCAAGCCAAGCTAGAGAGAAATACACGTCGACGGCTATATAACTTTCACCCAGGCGACTTTTGCGACTTTTGCGCGACTCCGAGGAGCAATCGCAATGTGCAAGCAGAAAAGTTGCATTTGCAGCTGCAGGCAGGATGGCCAACAGAGTTGGCTCTGCCGTTTTAGCCAGCCAACGAATGCTGCCTGCACTGGAGATGCGCTTTGAAATGTGCCTTGGCTAAGAGTTTTTCCCTTCATTTTTTTTTTTCTATTTTTCTTAATCTCATCGTGGTCTTAGGGAACAATTGACAAACTAAAAAAAAAAAGGCTTAAAAAATGCTTTAAAAAAAAAAAGTTACGCAGTCATTGGCGCTGGGAAAGTGAAAAATCTCACACATTTTCAGGCAGCATTCGCAATGCATCTTTTGCATGTTAAACGCTGTGCATGACATGGCCAATGCCACGCCCATTAAACGAAGCAAAATAATAAAACAGAAAAAAAAAATCCAGCCAAGACGCTGGGCCCCAATTGCCTAACTTGGCTAACAATTTGCTCGGCCACTAATCAAATTAAATGTTATCTCGAGACGAGCAAACAAGCTGAGCTAACTGCAAACATTGTGAGCGACGAAGAGATACGCTGTAAACATGAACTAACATGATGATGTTCGATAATCGATATCTCAAAACATTTACTATAACTTCAATTATAACAGACTTTACTTTCCTTTTCTTTGATAAAATTTTTTAAGCTTCAGTTCATTATCTTTAATTCACCTGCTTAAAGCTCAGCTGAGCCATGGTGACTGCAAACAAACTTCTACAGGGCATAGCCAGACGCTAAACAAACCTAGCAACATCCAACAGCCGACGATCTAAACAAACAACAGCCCAGACAAACTTTGCCATTTAATTTTCTTTTCTTTTTTTTTCACATTTTTTCCCCATTTTATTTCTTTTTTTTTTTTTTTTTTTTTTTGACTAATTATCATATATACACAACGTTTGCATATTTATGTATTCAAATTAGCAGAGGGGCAGAGAAAGAGAGAGAGAGAGAGAGACAATCACAGCACATAAATACATATATAAAAAAAATAAACAATTTTTGGGTGTGGTCCAGCATGGCCAAGGGCTGATCAGAACGTGATCGATTGTCTCCCGAGTCGCTTTGCTTTGGCCATGTCACTTGGCAACATTTGAAAAAATCTGTTATGAATGCATCCATTGGATTGCAAATCAGTTTCATAATTGGCTTGGGCATATATCATGGAGAATATGCGCTTTGGGCGTTGTCGGACTCAAATTAAAAATCAATTTTTATTAGTTTTCTAGAAAAGAAAAGATTTGCGCCGAACTGATTGAGATTTGATTTAGATCTACATTTATGTGTGTGTGTGTGTGTGTTGATTGCTTTGAATGTGCCGCCATAAAAATATAGAATGCAGAATGCAACTCAAGGCGTTTGCTTAGGCAGTCCAGAGATATTTCTCATATTTGGGTTTAGCTTATAGATATGAAGAGAAATTTGAATTGTGAATACCCATTGGAAATTAGCAATTTGGGTATAATAAGGAGGAGGAAGGAGGCGTGGCAGAGCCCACATAGTATATATATTTCTAATCAAAAACCAACAGCCGAATCTATCTTGCCCATAGCGTCGTATTAAATCTCTCATCTGTTTTTATGTTTATTTTCATATAGGATAGAATCCCAGAGTTTATAATACAATCGAGTTCCAACAATTCGAAATGGCAAGGGGATCAGTTTTTTTGTTCGATTGACACAGAAATGTAAATTATCGAGAATTATTGAAAACAATTTTTTTTCAAGCGGTTAGAATTTCTTCGATTTATCGCGATTTTCGATTTAGCGGGGTACAAATTATCGAGACTCCACTGTAGCTTGCCGATAATTCGAAATGGCAAGGGAATCAGTTTTTTTAATTACACAGAAATTCAAATTATCGAGAACGAATTCCTTTCAAGAAGATCGATTTTTTTCCAATTTAGTGGGGAAGGAACTATCGACAATAGACGACTATAGACAATATCATCCTTCAATTTTATTTATAAATAGGCGTCTTTAATTACTTATATTTAAGCTGATAAACAAATTATAGGTACTCATTTATCTATACACATATTTATCAAGCAAATGGCCTTGCTTGCATGTGGATTTTCCTCCCATTTGATTCACAATTTCCGATTTATTTGAGCCGAGGCCCATTCGGCATGCATTGCTTAGCAAGTGTGGGATTCGATCGTCGCACAATTTGAGGTTTTTTCCGTTTTTTTGATGGGGCACATCAAATGGAATAATGAAAATCAAACTGCAGAACCAAAACAATTTTCCCAACAAATTATGACAGCCAAACGTCGGCCGAAACGAGCCAAAGAAAGCAATCAAAAGGGCCAATCATTTCTGCCCAGGCCAAGTATAACTACAGCAGCTGGGGTGGAGGGAGAAATATGGAGACTGTGGGAGTGTGGGAGTGGGGGACAGGTAGCTGAGCACCCGGGGGCAGGTCGTGAGTGCGCCGAGAGCCAACAACAGCACGGAATCGGACGAAACAAAAGCAAAGCAATAACAAATTACATATTCTTCTGCTTCTTTGTATTTTGGCAGCGAGTCGATGGGGCGAGGGCGGGGAGTGGTCAGGGGGCAGGGAGAAGCGCATGTAATTGTAAGCAACGGGCAACGGGCAACGAGCAACGGGCAATTGCCGTAGCTCAGAAAGGTGCGGCTTGCGCCGGAACAACTCGACCCCGAAACTGAAAAAGGTTACAGCACACTCACACACACACACACACAGACACAGACTTGCACACACACACACACACAGACACAGACACAATTAACACTTGTAGAACACTTGTAACAACAGCCAAAATATTTGTTGGCCATCCAGCTACCCGCAGCTCGGCTCGGTGGCAATCGCCCGTGGGTTCTCTGAAGTCAGCGTTGCGTGCAAAAAACCAAAAGCAGTTCCACTTGACGCCCATTCTAATGGGTCATGGGGGTCTCAACATGCTAAGAATGAGCCATAAAACTGAACATAATTACGATATGCTCATGTGTGCGCCCGAAACAAGTAAGAGTGCTTCCAGGCGGGTGTGCTTGACCTGGAAATACCCTGAAACAATACAGCAGTTGCCCAAGATCTAGTCTGGATTTGGACTAAAGCCTATATATAGTTATAAATTTAGGCATTATATAGTTTGTAGATATATGCGCCACGCCTTCTTTTGTCTGTTATTTGCATTTCCACAAACACAAAACTTTTTTACAATTTAAAAAAAAAAAATTAAATATAAAAAAAAAAGTTTTTTAGTTTGCAAGACAAACATTACAAACTAAAATTAAATAAAAAAGTTTGAACTAATAAAAGAATTTTCTTCTACAGACTTCAACAGGCATATAGAAGCTATATTTCTTAATCTTCTTCACTTTTATAGAGTAGCTAGACTGCTGACATAATGGAGGTATGCTCTATAGGGCCTGCCTAAAGCAGAACCTTTCAAATTATTTAAATAGGTTTTACTGTAATAAGAAATGAGAACAATTACAATTTTATAATTTTTCTCCAAATTTTGTTTTTTTTTTACAAATTATATATAGTCCAACTCATGAACGAAAAAGTAGGAAAAAATATATATAAAAAATATTACTTATTTCTCAATACGTTTCGTATTTTTTGAGCGTTGTCTCATATAATTTAAATATAAATAAATCTAATATGCATAATTAAATATAAATTTATATCAAATATAAAATTATATTAAATAGAAATTTATATTAAAATTGTAAATTTATATTAAATAGAAATTCAAATTAAATAACTTATATTTATTATTTAAATGAAAAAAAAATTTATTAAATATAAATTTAAATTACGTATAAATTTATATTATATAAAAATTGTATTAATTATAAATTTAAATGAAATAAAAATGTTATATTAAATATAAATTTAAATTAAATAAAAGTTTTAATTAAATATATATATAAATTAAATATACATTTCTATTATATAAAAATGTAAATGAAATATAAGTTTAGTCTCAGATAATCTAAGACTCGATTTATGACGTGTGCTAATTGTCTTTCACCTGATCTAGAGAGTGTTAAGAGGCAACGCAACAGATCTCAACTGACTGCGACGCACTTGCAACTGAACTGGGGATGGGCCGGCCAGTCACGGCCGGTTGCAAGTCGTCCATTGTGTTGTGTTGTGTTGCAGCGTTCAACTGTGACCGAGCGGGCGTCGGCCGAGTTGGCAGTGGATGGGCAAGAACTTCTTAGCTTAGCTTACTTACTTTCTAGGCAAAAACTGCAAATCAAAGTCAAAGTCAAAGTCAAAGTGGCTTACCCGAACAAAGCAGAATGGCAATGCCTGCGGCTCGTCGGCATCGTTGCCGTCGTCGTAGTCGTTTTCCATGCTGGCGTTTTGCTGTTGCAGCAACGTTTTGGTTTCGTCTGCGGTGGCGCCACCAGCTGTGGCAGCATTGCTGCTATCGCCAGCTGCATCCATGGCGAGAATCACTGAGCGAGAGCAAGTTGCGTTTGTTTTTGATTTTGTTTTTTATTATTATCTTTTCGTTTCTTTTCCCGCTCTCTCTCTCTCTCGGTCTCTCTTTCTCACACACAATTAGCTGTTCTGATTGGCAAGCGGCTAGCTGCTGTTTTAATTGCAATTGACATGAGCATTAGCATAAGCTTGAAACATTGAGTATACGCAGCATAAGCCAAGTCGAGATATTCCTATAACAAACTAAATGCCACAGTCTCTCCATACTCAATCGCGCTCTCTCTCTCGCTCTCTTGTTATTGGCAAAAATTTCACTTTTGTCCGCGGGGTAGCTTTTTTTCAGTTTTCAGTTTCAGTTGTTGTTTTCATTGAATTGCCATTAAGCGTCATTATGTTGCGGCTTCGAAGGAGAGGCATACACACACTCACACACACACAACTCTAAACTGTGCTCTATATGTGCAGCATAAATGCACAGCTTCATTTAATTGCCAACATAAAAGTTTAGCTGTGCATTGCATATGCTCGACTGGCAGTTACCCTATATGACAGCTGCACTTGACTTGTGTTACATTCGCACTCGATATGTCAATATGCCCATATTTGAATATAAATTTAATGAGTATCAAAATGCAATTGGCTTTTGCTACTGTTGTTGTTGTTGTTGTTGTTGTTACTGATTGAACAATATAAGAAAAATATCGTGTCGTGTTTTTCGCTCGTTTCTGTTTCTTGAAATGGGAAAGTTTATCTCAGAGTCGGCACTTCTCGAATTCGTTCCGCTTTTCTGATTTATATGATGCATCCATATATATTTACACTATATAGATATATATATATATATATATATATATAAATATATAGTTAAACAATTAACTCTCGTTTCTGAAATGCCTACGAAATATCGTCTGCTTTAGTGCTAGCTCTATATATAGATAAGTAGATATACAAATATATATATTAACGATATATTTAATTAGCATTCAAGTTGCGTAATTAAAATATGTATATTGTTAATAATATCTGAGCAAATCTTATCGCTGATAGCCATCTATTATAAATGTGCACTCATGAATCATACAAATCGTAAGCAAAGCAAATCCAAATTGAATACTTTCCGGAAACTATAATCTAGCAGTCTCGGCAATGCCCTCAGTGAATCATTATCTTATAATCTTGCAGAAGACATTGGGCTGTAGAAGATACTCGGGGTTGTATGTGTCTTAATATGACTGCTCAGACAGTAAATCTTCGGCTATATAAGCTAAACTGTCGCGCTATCCTAATGGAATCGTCTATTGGGAACCTCGCAAATTTTTTAACCTGTATCGGTATATTTACGAAACTAAATATATAGCATATTGGGTTAGTTCAATGCCCGCCTTGCTGTCCGTGCGACTATCCATCCTCTTTTATTTCCATATCTTTTTTGTCATATCTATGATATTTTCTAAATCAGAGCATTCCTTTAGATGATGCTAAGACCTTATGTATTAGATATTAGATAGATAGATAGCAGAATATGTAAATATATGTATTAAGGAGCTTAACTCAGGCGGCTAATTAAAAGTTTTGTTAGTCAATTTGTTTATTGTTTAGCTTAAATACAAAAATTCAGAGTATCATATCTTTTACTCTATATGATGTTAAAACGTGATCCATTATATTTTATAGTAACTAATACACAAATATATACCCATATACCTTATATATAGCCAAATTCTGATGCAAGTCAGAATATCATAGCATATCATATCTGTCTATTTTGATCAGAAATCTCATATTCAACGGGTAGCCTCAAGTAAATAATAATAAATCATCTCGTTCAGCTATTCCCCCAGAAGCGTTCATCTGCCCTATATAAGTTCATTAGAGTTCTCAACTTGGCTAATTGTGGGCCTCTGACCCTCTAACCCAATCCAGTTTATTGTCCACAAAAAAAAAAAAAAAAAAATAAGAATAAATAAAAATAAAAATAAATAAAAAACGTATTTGTTGATGCTTTTATATTGCGCCTGTCGCTTTCTATACGATGGCATTTAACAAAAAAGCAATGTGCAGCTTTTTAGAATCTGCAATAACAACAACCGCAGCAGCAGCAACAACAAAAGTGGAAGCAGAAGCAGCAGCAACAATAGCCCCAAGTTCTATGGCAAGGCAAGATAGGGGGCTAACGGTACCGAGTTACAGGCGGCGTGACTAAACTGGTTGGCATTTTTAATTTGTTATTCTTTCGAGCCAACAATTGACACAAATACTACTACTATCAGCCATAGACACAGACATAGACATACATATACAAGTATATATGTATATATATTATGTTATTTGTATAACCCCGATAAAATAGACGATCCTCGATGACACGCTCATTGCTAACATCTTCAATCAGCGGCGCTTTACTTAATGACATATCTTGGAGTCTTATTCAAATAGACGCGCAAGCAAAATACTGTGGGAGTATTTTAATAAGAATAGTACTTCAAACTTCAAACTGAGCAAATAATTTCAGATACATATTTAGACTGGGGAAGTCATTTATGAGCATGCTATTTGGGCTTTAGTTATTGATAGTGATCTCAACGAACGAATTAGAGCTATGGATATATGTATGACAATAGGAGTCCATTTTGAGCATGATCTTTGCTTAAAATACTGAATTGATCTCAAAATCGTACGACAGTTATTTATGGAGGCTATTGAATGACATTATTGATGACATTAGATATAGATCAAAAACTCCAATGAACAATACCAATTCTACTACATAGTTTGACAATCATTGAGCATGAAGAGCTCATATTTGTTAGTTCTAATAGTGTTTGGGTACATTCTCACAGTTTGACAAGCATTGTAGCTTCAAGAGCTTAAACTATCCACTGTTTGCCATTCATTAGATCTTAAAGAGCTTCCACCATCAATGAAATATTTAGCCATAATGAGCTCTTCTTAATAGTCTGAAAATATTGTAAGAGCATATGCCAGTCGGCTATGGCCAACATTCTCACTTGTTACTTGGGGAGTTGGCGCTGCTTCATTAACTTTTCCACATCATCAACAACCAAAGCAACAACAACAATCACATTCACCCACTAAAAAACTGATCGTATGCTCGTAGATCGTATTCTCTTTTTGCCGCTAAAACTATTTATACCATTTCCATTTTGGGCTTTGCGAAGTTAAACAATATTTACCTTCCGCTGCAACAACAACAACAACAACAGCAACAGCAACAACAACAGCAACACAACACTAACAAAAACACCAACAACAACAACAACAGCAGCACTTGTTGCCCGTTACCTTTATTTCTTTTGCTCGTTTTGTTTGTTTTTCTTCTCTTAAATTTTTTTGTTTTGCCGTATTTTTTGAATAAACAAAAGATTTCTAATTTGTTTGACACTCGCACAGCTCACACGCTCTGTGCGGCTGCTGCAGCAGGTGAGTTAATGTTTCAACTCGGTTTTATCGTTAAATGCACTTTCCACAACTGCTACAACTATTAAAAAAACAAAACAAAACAAACAAAAAACGCAACAGGTTGCTGCCTGAAGCGAGAAAACTGTTTAAACTGCGTAAGGTGCGCACGCTCGACTCGAATATTAAGCTACGACTGAAATTACAGCGGGCAAAGTAAGACCAGCGCAGTCTCGATACATTAACCGCTCTAGTCTATGCTATCGATTGCTTGGCATAATCGAGCAAAGTGTGTAGTCAAATTCCGATAGTAACATAATAATGTTTGATTTAGTATTTTTTTTGTTATCGACTACTTTGTATAAGAGTTTTGAATATTTGTTCATCTATTATGTGTCCGTGTTTACACTTAATTTTTATTTTATTTTTACTTGGGCTTTCCGTCAAAATGCCAGAATTCAATATCTCTCGATAAATTTCAGAAAGAATAGGTCAGCAAAACTTCTTTTCAATTTGCTTAGCTTTATATCAAGCAACAAGGAAAACACGAACTAAGTCTTGACACTAGTCTGGTGGTAAGCGGTTTTAATTAATAACGCATCTTGACCGGTTTACCATCACGATTATTTAGTATTTTTAACCGCTAGTTTTCATTCGGAACTTTTGGTCTTTGTGGTGCATGCTGCAAACGGTCTCTCTGTGCTACAGCTGAGCTCGCAATAAAAATAAATATCGAATTTGTGTTTGTGTGTTGCTGGGCCAAGGAGTGATTTGTAATGTTTTTCCGCTGTCTATAAACAAGGTAAAAAAGATGAGATTTTATAAATTTGCAAAATAGCTCAAAGTGTACTCGAAAGGCGGATTGCGCTCTGAAGTTTGTTAATAACGGCCAATGCAACAATAACAATTTGTTGATGGCGCTTTGTTTTGAATTTTTATATAATTTTTAACTTCTACAAAACAATTTGCACACCTACACACACAGGCGCCCACAGAAACGCATATACCCACGCACACACACACTGACACACACTCAAACCCCCACGCATACACACGAGAAATGCAAGCGCAATAAATTCTTGTTGCTTCTTGCAAATGCACAGTTTGAGAGCCACTGTTAACAGAGTTGTGCATTCACTGATAAAAAATCATTTTATGATAAAAACGATAGCTTAATTGTGAACAATTAAGTGGAATAAGATTTCTTTAATGTAAATAATAAAATTTAACAGCAACAAATGTGGAAAAAGAAAAACAAATTAGTTAAATCGTTTATTAATATTTTAGTTGATAACGGTTTAGTAAATAAAGAAAAACAAAATTGAAATTGAAAAGAAAACAAAAATTTCTAAAAAAAAGAAATTTAAACTATCAAAATTAATAACAATTTTTGTCAAACATTTATTTGTTCCAGAAGTGTATAGAAGTATTCGTCATAGCAGCCACAGATTTTGTTTTTGTTTTATATAGTATATGTACGTAGTTTTGTTTTATTTCCCTGTTCTCATATCTACGGCGGGCCGTCATATTTGGCAAATTTCTAATAATACAAAGCATACCTCTCAATCTTCATATGTATGCACAAGTATAAATATACATATAGATTGGTATATATGTACATATGTATACTTATATATGTACATATGTATACTTATATATATATTTGTGCATGCACATTTCGTATAGTAAAGCCTCCGAAGATGACCGCCAGACGAGAGCGACGCAGCGTCAACGAATGCATCTACAATTTCCCGTACTATGGGCACCAGGCGCAATCGAATCTGCAGGCCAGCTGCAAGAGTGAGTTGAGAGCGAGAGCGAGAGCGAGATAGAAGAAAGAGACTTATCAGATAATCGACTCGGATTATCTATCCATATAGATTCCCAATAATATTAATCTCTTTCTATTTGACCAATTTCCAGATTCGCTGGACTTTGTGCAGCGCTTGAGCCTGATGAAAACGCTGAACGTGCACAGCGGATGCGTGAACACGGTCAATTGGAATGCGAGCGGCACATTGTTTGTATCCGGATCGGATGATAACTATTTGGTGGTGACCGAGGCCAAGCGCGGACGTGTGGTGGCCAGGACCAAGACACAGCACAAGCGTCATATATTCAGTGCACGCTTTATGCCCTTCACCAATGACCAGGCCATTGTGTCGTGCTCCGGCGAGGGCATTGTTCTGCATACCGAATTCCTGGCACCCTACGGGCCCGGCCGCACCTCCGAGGAGGTGAACATCGGCGAGTCGGGTCGTCAGGCCAGCTTCTTTGATTGTCATGCCTTTGGCAGCACCTACGATGTCCTGCCCATACCGGACACTCCTCGGGTCTTTCTCAGCTGTGGCGAAGACGGCACCGTGCGTTGCATCGATTTGCGTGTGAGCAGCCGCTGTGCGGAGTCCGTGTGCGATAAGCATATCTATATAACCGCACCGTGTGCCATTACGGCCATGGATGTGGCACCGATTAGCCACTATAAGCTGGTGATCGGTTGCTCGGACTCGATTGTGCGGCTCTATGATCGCCGCATGCTCTCGGCTGGCTCGGATCGCGATCGCATCACTTGGCCGCTGAAGGCCTATCCGATACCCATGAAATATACACGTCGTCACTATCGTCCCACCTGTGTCAAGTATAGCGCCGACGAATCGGAGCTGCTTGTCAGCTACTCGATGGAACAGTTATACCTATTTGATTTGAATCATCCGGGCTATAATGATGCCGATTTGTTACGCAGTGGCTGCTATACACCAAAATTGCGGCGCGACAATGATCCAGAGCCGCAAATGCCGCGATTGCGTTTCCGGGGCGATTGGTCCGATACGGGACCAAATTCCATGGCCAATATTGACCACGATCCAAATCGTTTAAATGTGGGCCAGGCACGCCCACCCCTGGTGCCCAGTGTGCTCCGTCGTCTGAGCGATGAGATCATTCGCATGCTCAATTCTCAAACAAATCAAATACACGCCATCAATCCAGCCAGCCGGAGCAGTAGCTCCAGCTCGCGCTCACATCACATGTCCTGGCAGGATGCCGTCTTGCGCACACTAGACAACCAGAGCGAGTCGGCAACAAGCCGCACCAACAGCCTGCGACTCGTTGCAGCCAATGAAATCACCCAGGCGGCAATGGCCGCCAATAACAACGCCTCAGCTATCGATGGTAAGTGCAGCCAGTGCCCCGCCAGACTCCCCAACTATGGCTAAGCACTTGTCCATAAATGATTATGATCCACAAATGTAATATCTATATAGATAGTCATATCATTATCATTTTATCTATGGCATATTGCATCAATATTGTGTTTCAGATCAACTTTGATATTATATCTAATATATAGTATAAGCCAGATCTGACTTACCATATATATCTTCTATATCATGATGTATCTAGATATGTTTGCTTGTTACCTTTGGCTATCATATTAATGCCATACAGGTAGATGCAATGAATTAGAGTAGTTGTAGCTGAACAAATAGTATAGAACTAGAGATAGCCATAGTAGTACTCGAGTGCATGAAGAAACTTTTGTTTAGATTATCTAAAATAGTTTTCATATATAAAATCATTTAACATTGCCAGCTGAATTGCTCAATTGACTTGCTGAGAATCGCATATAAAGACACAAAAAATGTTGCTAATTATACAAATTGTGTTTATACTATAGTAAAATATATTTTTTAGCTAGTTGATTTAATTAGAACATATAAGTATGTACATATAATCCAGCTAAAATTGTTCTAATCAAGTCACCTTTAGCCAAAAAAATATATATATATAAATATATATAAAGAAAAATTAATCTAATCATGTCACCTTTAGCTCAAAAATATATATATAAATAAACAAATAATAATTTAAAAAATAATAAATAAAATATAGATATATATATAAATATTTTTTATATATAAAAAGTACATATATAAAAATATTTAAAAAATCAAATGTCATAAGTAAAAAGAATTGGTGTCTTTCTATGCGATTCTCAGTAATTCAATTAAACATTTCTGCTGGCTATGTTAAATGATTTTATTTACCATACATAGTAAAGCTCATGTAAAGCTCATGCTGTCCAAGCGCAGCGAGTGCCAATGTGTGGGTGTGTGTATGTAGATGTATTTCTTATCATATACGTATATGTACATTTATTTAAACGCAGCGTAGAATGATGAGCGTGCGCAGAGCTCAGGTATTTGCTAGTCGAACATACCCGACTAGACCGCTCTGACTTGTCCCTATTATGTACATGTGCTTCCCCCTTTCGTTCGCAGCCGTTGAGAAGCGCGATGCTGTAATGGAGGCTGCCGAGGAGGGTAAGGAGCGTCAGCTGAATAAGTTCGACTACATCAAAATGTCGTTTAGCGGCCATCGCAATTCGCGCACCATGGTGAAGGGCGCTTGCTTCTGGGGCGACGATTACATCATGTCCGGCTCGGATTGTGGCCACATATTCATCTGGCAACGTCACACTGGGAAGGTGGTCAAGACATTGCTGGCCGACCATCGTGTGGTGAATCGTGTCCAGCCGCATCCGACTCTGCCCTATTTGCTCAGCTCGGGCATTGATTACAATATCAAGCTGTGGGCGCCAATTGGAGCAATTTCAACATTTGATGAAGCTGAAACAACAGCAGTAAGTGCCACAGAGAATGAGAGAGAGAGAGAGAGAAAGAGAGACAGTGGAAGATTGTGATTAACCAATTCTCTATATGATTACAGTTGATCAAGAGCAATGAAATCATGCTGGTGGAGACACGCGACACCATAACGGTACCTGCCCAGGTCATGATACGCATTTTGGCCGGCTTGCGTCAATATCATCGGATTCGCCATGCATCCGGAACCCGTGGTCTGGGCGTCGATAGTAGGCGTAGCCGCAACGAAACTCTTCGAGCCATCGAGGCGAGCGCCGTTGTTGCTGCACAGGAGGCCCGGCGTCATAGTAATGCTCAGCGTATTGCCGATAATAACAATGTTAATGAGGATGCTAATGTGGCTGAAGAAGAGGCTAACAATGAGGGCAATGATAATGAGAATGTCAGTGATGCTAGCAATACCAATGAGGACACCACCATCAGCATCATCAGCAGCAGCGTAAATAACTCAAATACAAACTAAAGAAATCTTGTCAATGAGAAAACTATATAGATAACATGAAAACATACTTACTTATATATATATATGTATGTATATGTATATATATCTATACATAGATATATACATGCATATGCATATTGTGGCTATCGGCGCTGCACTCCCATGTCTAAATATATATACATATACATATACATATATATATATATATAGTATGTGTGTGAATACATATATGGCATATAATAGAATATAGTACGTACATATATATCTATATATATTGTATACATATATTGTCCATTCCCTGCTGGACACAATCCTGTCCACATTCCCCTCCGCAAGCAGTCAAGCTATGTAGCTTTGTAGTTAGCGGCGCCGACACCCCCATCTTAATTGTGAGATTCAAGAAGCATACGATTGATTGATTGATTGATGTGAGCAAACTATCTATATGTATATGGATATATCAAATAACATTTGTTCCTTTTTTAAGTTGTAAATTAAAAACGTTTCTAGAGAAACTTTCTAGTTTTGCTATGATTGTTATTATTGTTAGTACGTTAAACTGTTTTATCTATAGAAAAGGACATTGTTGTCACTTTTTTTTTTTTTTTTTTTTTTCTATTTTGCTTATATAATTTGTTCTAACGCGGATGAGATATTTGATATATATACAAATATATATATACATATAAATATATATATATATACTTGTATATGTACACTAGCATACATAAATTGCGATTAATTAAGTACACTACGCTTAAATGCTAAACAACTATAAGTTAAATGCACTATATACAAAAGTCAACTGATATTATTTACATTATATTATATTATATATATATATATATATATATATATATTTATAAATATATATATATATATATATATATAATATAGCAGATACGTTCTTCGTTTTTCGATTCGGAAAGTGTTTTATGAATAACGCTACAAATAAATACAATATACATTAGACGATCTAAACAATATCTTGCACATTCTGATCTCATTTAACAACTTGTTTCAATACGTATATATATATATATCTATATAAATACATATATGATACTTAAATATATAATTAAGTGTACTTTCGCCTCATTAGGTGCGGCGCAAGCCCAGGCTATCAATGGTCTTGGCTATCGCCAAATCATTTATTTCGGCAACCTCGGGCTCATTGTTGTTGTTGTTGTTGGTTGTTGTGTTGGTGTTGCCATTGGCAGTGCCATTGGCTGCGCCCGTTACCCCGTTGCCACCTCCAGCAAATGTATCGGAGAATATGTGAGCCAGTGCCACATAATGGCCATAGCTGCCAGCTGTAGCTGGAGCTGAGCTGCTATGGCTAGCCTGCTGCTGCTGCTGCCGCTCTGACTTCTGTTGCTGCTCTGACTTCTGCTGCTGCTCCAACTTCTGCTGTTGCTGCTGCTGCTCTGGTTGCTCCATGCGTGGACGGCGCAGGGGTGGCGGCTGCACTTCCTCTTGTGCTCCAGCCACTGGCTCTGGGCAGGCGCTGCTCTCGCTGGCGCTGGCATTGGACGCATACAGGCCGTGGCGAGCAATGGCAGCGTCTATGGCATTGCGTTCGATGTCGAAGGCGGGCGCTCGAGAGATCGCCTCGGTGCGATAATGTCGCACAATTTCCAGATTGTGATTCACATAATTCTCACGCTGAGCCTCGCTTAGCACCGCTGTATGCCATTCCTGTAGCTGCTCATCGGTCATATTATTGACTATACACATATTATATATACATTTGTATAATATATATACAATATACACACAAATGACCATGAAGAGTGGGCGAGGGAGGTAGAGTAAGACGGGGAGGGAGAGAGAGAGAGAAAACAAACAAATATGTGTATCATATGAAAAGGCGCTCGAGCATATGTTTGATTTGATCCAAATCGATGACAATCCATTGCCAATGCTTACAATTACTGCTAGCACTCGTCCCTCGCCGCAAAATCAAGTTCTCCATTTCGATAATGCACGAATTGAACAATTGTAAATACACTTTTTACTTAGCCTACGAACGTCTCTATTGCATACACAAATGCATTAGAGATGAGCGTTGGCAATGTGTGAAAGTATGGGCCAAATATCGATAACAGCTCGATTCATATAGTTCTGCTTGATTTTGATTTCGATAGATTGCGCGCCAAACAAAGCTTTCAAAATGCATCAATTTCATTTGTCTATGTGTGGAAATTGTATTTACTTACGGATTCTAGAAAAAATGTTTGTCTTTTATTATAATGAATTAAGTGCTGGAACCTGCAAGAAAACAAGCAAGTTTATAACTATTTTAATTTTATTTAATGTTGAATATTGTTTTGAGTTATATAAAATGTTTTGATAACAAAAATGAGCATCTAAAATTCATTTAGGAACACACAAATTGAAAGGCTTCAAATTATTATTTTTCAAGAAAAACGTAAAAAAAAAAAAAATAATAATAATAATAACAATAATTTTTGAATAATTTTATTTCTAGACGTACAATCTTAATGAAACTTTCAGAGCGTAATCATATGGTGTATGTACATTCCAAAGAACACGTCTCTAGTACTTGAAATACGCCTTTTACAAAGGTGAGAGTGAGGGGGTGGATATAGGGGTGGGGGGTAAATTACAACAAAAATCGAAATTAAATAAAATACATATAAGTCTACATTTTGCAAGCTCTAGCTCTAAAGGTGTAGGAGATATAATAAAATAACTAGCTTTTGATAAGGTTTTTGATCGATAATAAAATATCGGGACTAGTTATGTAGTAGGAGTAGTTATATTTGATATGCGCGTGATATACACGGACCTAGGAAAACAAATTTTAAGTCTCTAGCTCTTATATCTTCTGAGATCGACGCGTTCATGCATACGGACGGACGGACGGACGGAGGGGCAGACAGACGGACAGGGCCAAATCGACTCAGCTCGTCGCCCTGATCAAGAATACATATACTTTGTGGGGTCTGCCACGCCTCCTTCTGCCCGTTACATACTTTTAACAAAACCATTATACCCTGATTTCCCATTTTCAATGGGTTCAGGGTATAAAAATCACAATAATATAATAATCGTATGAGCGCTATAAGCGGTGTCGATATATAAAAATGCATAAAAATACAAAATATATGTAATATTTAATTAGCAGTTAAAATTCAAATGCAAAAGAAAAATAAAATTATTAAAATAATAAAGTGACAAAAAAAAATAAAAAGAATTTAAGCAGAACTAAAATTTGAACAAATTAAAAAAAAAATAGGTTTAGTTATAAATGTTTGTTTGTTTTTTTTTTTTACTTCTTTTTTTTTTACTTAACGAAAATTTTACAAGTGTTTATTAAAAAATTGAACATTAAAACATATTTGGTAACTAACTGCTTTTGTTTAATGTTAATTTCCTCTACTCAGTTGTTGTTTATGCAAATTTATATCTCTAGTGCAAATGGCCAAAAGCTGAAGGAATATATTCATGCTACGCTTGGATACATTCACTCATTCACCCATTCACATTCGCATTCGCATTCACAATAGCAATTGCAGTTGCAGTTGCAGTTGCAATTGCATTTGCAGCCTGCGTTAATTTTTCCGCCTTGTTTGAGGCCTGTCGATTGCATGTTGTAACAGGTTGGCTTGTAGCCGGGAATGCAGCCTGAGCAGTCATGGAAGAGGCAGCCGAAGCGGCAGTGGCAGCAGTGGCAGTAGCCGCAGTAGCCGAAGCAGCAGCAGCTGATAAAAGTATCTTGAATGTAAAATTCTTAACGTTTCGTTTTGGCATTTATTTGTTGTTGTATTTTCTTTTTTTTTTTTTTTTTTTTTTTTTGCGCACTTTTGGGGTTGAGTGACGGCAAATGTTTGCAGTTTTTTTTCAGAGAGGGGTGGGCAGGGGCCTCCGGCTGATTCCTGGGATTTCTGTGGAGGAAGGGGGTGTGCGGGGCTTACCTCCAGGGTCTGTTACTGCGCGGAATGCATTCACGTTTTTTCCTCCTGTGTGTGTGTGTGTGTGTGTGTTTTTTTTTTACGTTTGTTTCTTTTCGCATTTTGCATTTGGTTGGCCTGTTGTAATTGGCAATGAAAAATTCCAAGTGTTTTTCAAAGTGCTCTTTAGATGGCCTAATATAAGCCAACTAACTAACAAAGAAAGCAATTTCACACACACCAACAGCAATACCAACACACTCACACACGCAAGTAAATACTTTGAATACGTAATAAAATTAAAAAATTTCAACAAAACAAAAAAAAAATAAAAATAAGCTGGAAGCTAACGTACGAACACGTATATGCTTGCCTAAGGAACCCAACCAACTCAATTTCCAACTGTTGCAGTTGCTGTTTCCACCCGGCGAAAAAAAAAATAAAAGCAACAACAAACACAAGTAAGTGTGCAATCGAAGGGATTGCTCGACGAGGAGATACCCTGAACCAAGCAAGCGGCAAGCTGTGCTTCTCTTAAGCAGGGAGTTCAAACGTTTGTAGAGAATGGGGAAAGGCAGCCTAAGTCAAATGTTGAAAATAAACTATATCATTTATCTATTTCTAATCGAGGAGGTATATATGAAATTTGTTATGCTAATATTTTCTTAATTTAATCATTAACTTAAGTTATGTTACATTAAAATCTAGAAACTGAGTCGATATATCACTATTTATCGCTAATCAGGAAATACCAAGGAAATCCAATTTATGGAATCTTTCTTTGGAAACTTGAAAACCAAGTCAAAATATCAATATTATTTGTTATTAATATATTATTATTATCATCATTATTATATTATCATACATATTTAAAGCTTCAAGCATATAGCTTCTCTAGTTTACGACTCAGATAGATCAAAGCACAGGCGGATTATCTAGGCTTGCATCCCTAGACTCTGTCCGTTACATACACTTCTACATAGCCCATATACCCCATTTATCTACCCATTTGCAATAGGTTGAAAAAAAAAAGAAAAGAAAATAACAAAAAGTCATATGAAGCATTCCAAAGTGCATAGGAAAATATCAGTGCACAGTGCCTGCATTTAGCTCATTTAATGTAAAACATTTTTGCCCCAACACACAACACACAACAACTACAATTAACTGCATACATATGTACATATATATAAACATACACATACATATATATCTCTCTATATATATTTACTTTTATTGTTAGACGTAAGTTTGCCCATTTTACACTTAAAACTTTAGATTCAGTTTGCAAAGCTGTCTAGAATTGGGAATAAAACGTTGACCTAATATTAAGACAAAAATAAGTAACTGTATCTAACAAAGTCTTCTTCAACACCTCATCAGAGTTATCTTTATTCTTTACTCTCTATCCTAATAACTAATAACAAATCAATAGACTCCAAAAAAAAAAACAGCTAAATCCAATTATATATCATGATTTTTACGCTTTTAATTAAATTGTATTAAGCTCAATTTGTAGAATCAACTGCAAAACTAACTTATTCCGAAGCGAAAACGTTTTAGGTTTTATTAATTGTTTTCATCTAAAATCTCAGTTTTTAAAATTCGAATAAATTTTAGGTTTATTTTTAGCTTTAGCTATAAAGTTCTTATCGACTTGCCACTCCCACTGTGAGCGTACGTTTAAATCAAGATCAAACCACTTCCCCGATTTGGAGGTGCCAGCTGTTAAATGATAAAATATTCAAAATTCAAGATTTTTCGATTTGCCACGCGCTGTAAGGGCGCGTCCCAAAAAAATTTGAGCTCTTTATGAAAGTGAATGTATTAACGAGTATATAAGAAGATGAAGAAGAAGAAGAAATAGATATACATATATGATTTTCAGACGGTGTGCAACACTTAACTTCAAGGAAGAGTCTCTCTCTATGTCTTTTATCCCTCTATGTCACATTTCTCTATCTTTTCTTCAATTTCTCGCTCTCTCTCTCTCTCTCTCTCTCTCTCTCTGTTTCGCATTCTCTGTAAGCATCTACATTTTTTTTCTTTCAGTCTTCTTCTTTCAGCCTTTGTCTCTTTCCTCTCTCTTTCTATATCTTTCTCTCTCTCTTTCTATATATTTCTCTCTCTATTTACATTTCTTTCTCTCTCTATCTATTTATCTCTCTCTATCTATCTTTTTCTCCGTCCATCTCTCTCCCGCTATGTCTCTCTCCTTCTTTATTTCTGTATCATTTCCTCTCTACCTCTATCTCTCTCTCTCTCTCGCTCGTTCTGGGTTATCCACATTCTCTCTCCTTGCCTCACTCTCTTTCGCGAGAGAAACAACTCTCTGATCTGTGCAATATATATGATCTCTTCTCCAAAATTTAGATTTAAGTTGCTAGACCCAAAATTATTCACTGCCAAATAAATTATAATGTAAGGTCAAATATGTACGCAAATCGTTTACATACACATATGAACACACACATATAAATACATACACACACACATATATATATATACATACATATTTGGTAAATACGTTACAAGAAATGTGTAAATAGAAATGAATGAATCGCGTTCATTGAAATGCGAAAGTCTTTTTTGGCTAGACTTTTCCTGATGTTGCCTAGTATGAGTTACTCTATGTGCGCATATATGTATGTACAATTATATATGTATGTATGTACGTGCGCATATGTAGAATCTGCTTATGTATCTGTATATCTCATCTTGAATTTTGTACTCGTATTTTATTCGTTTTCATGTTGTCTTGTCTTGTCTTGTGCTGCGTTTATATATAGACAGACTGACTGCGGATCGACATAGACATAGCCATAGACATAGACATAGACATAGTCATAGACATAGACATAGACATAGCCATCGACATCAACATAGACGTAGACATCGACATCGACCGTCTCTGCACACATGCTGAGCTGTTTTGTTCAATTTCAACACACTAGCCTTAATGTCTAATGATGTTTTGCCCCTTACACGCGTGAAGTAGAAAATTATTTTTAGTGCCCAAAATCAAATGCAACTGAAATGAAATGAAATGAAAAGCAAAAAAAAAAAGAAGCAGAAATAAAAAATTAACTTAAATTAAACCCTTCGAGAACAAATCAGCAAACGCATTCGATTTATCATTTGCCATTTCGCCCCA